AATTAGCAGTGTGTAAGGGCTATGTAATTTCCTGTTTGTCCGACGCTTCGTTTTCGTGTCACGCTCAAAATTATTGCTACTTCTTTACTTAACAGGGACTAAATGGTCTCTATAAAACGATAATCAGGATCGCAAAAAAAGTCAACTCATTTGAAACACTTGCCGTCTCTCTCTCTCTTCTGAAATCCGCCTCGGTGATCACGTCCGGAATCTATTTCTTTCAAAAGTGTTGCGCCAGGTTTATGTTGTCGGCGTTTCTCTTTAAACCTAGTTGTTTTTTTCATGGACGAGGACAGTTTTTCAACAACAAAAAAAGAAGCTGAGGTTAAGTGGCTTTCGTCCACTGATGTCGCACTTTCGGATCGATTAGAAACGTGTGAATACTTACACTATGACTATACGTTTCACTGCAACTGCCCGTAACACAGCATCCAAAAACTCTCTCTCTCTCTCAAAAAAAAAATAGACAAAACAAAGGGGAAAAAACGCCGACCGAAAAATGTATATCGTTTAAAAGTATATGAATGACCAGTGTTATTACGGCTCAGGGGTATGACTTCCTCTCACATTTTGGCATTTGGTGGCACACTTTCGGCGAAAGTCGGAAATCCGGAAACAGTCGACCGTTTCAGGATAGGTGGGCGTGGCTACAACACGAGAAATATTCCAAATTTACTTGGATACGAGTAATCATTTTCAGCAAAAAAAACAATAACTGCCCATTTCAGTGGGACACAGGTCTAAAATGGGAAACGTGAGGATGGGCATTGCACAGAATTCGCATTTCCTAATTATGGTAGGATGAGAATACCCCGTAAAATTACGGCACGCTGTAACATGTGGCGTTACGGTGACGGATGTATAATAATAGTATATATGATAGTTATATCATATAAATAGTCAGTCAGTCAAGCACGGTAAACATGATTTTCGGATTAACCGTTCCAGTAGAGTTTAATGCTTGTGTACTGTGATTTGACCTATGTCGGATGGCATAGGTTTGCTCAGTCTGTTCTCTATGCAAATAACAACACCACAGCAGTATCTCGGCCT